CCCCCCCGCCCCCAAAAAAAGTGCATGTGTGTACACAGAGACACACACACATACAGGTTTTTGATTGCAAGTTTATGTTATTACCCTGCTGTCTTGGCAGAAGGTGGTGGATCTAGATGTCTGCAATATCTGCACTCCGTCCTTTATATGCAACTTCAAATGCAACAAACAAAAAGCAAAGATGCTTTTCTGGCCAAAAAGAAAGAATCCTCCAAAAATTCTGCAAAACATTAGAAATTCCTAGTGTTGATGTAGTCCAGTGATGAGAGATCATTATTTGTCTTAATTGTGAAACCGGCATCAAAGACAGAAGCAAAGTAATTTGTTACACTTCTCTGCTGGGCTTTCCAGCTAAATACAGAAGGGATTATTTGGGTGTTTCATGTGTTTGAACACTTAGGAACTGCTGAAATTTGTCTCAGAAATTTTTTTGAAGCCTTTGGAAGCAAGTTTTGTACTATTACAGGCTCTTATGTTTTCATTTTAATCTTGTATTGGATTTTCTTTCCTCTAATGCCCATGACCCAGAAAATACATGGTTTCTGGAAGAGCTTTATCTTTAGGTAGATTGCTGATATTCATGTGTAGAAAATATTAAAAAACAAACTTAAAAATCTTACAGGCCTTCTCAAGGTTCCCTCTAAATTGAGAATCCAAAGCCAAAATAGGTAGCCAAAAGGTAGAAGTGCTTGTGCCACAATTTGGTGTGCATTCTGTAGCTTTTCTGTGTTAAGAGATGCTTTCTTAATGGTTTAATGCATAACAATTATGAAAAGCCTTCAAAAAGATGGGCCTGAAGTACTAAGCTGTAGACTTGTTTGAAGTCCTGTGTTCATTTGAGGAACAAAGACATTAAAGGACAAAACCTGATTTAAAGCGGAGGGACGATAAGAATTGGTGAGCCATGCTTTTAAGAATACCGTCTAGGCCCAGTTTCTTGTGTGGAGGCTAGTTAGCTGGAATCACAGGGCAGTCATGTACTGCTGAGCACCAAGCATCTCCAACGATTTTAGACATGTGCTTTGGCATACATTTCAGATGTAAAGCAATTAACCAGAAACTTTACAACTACTGAGCAGTCTTTTCCAGCTCCAGTACCCAGTCCCTCTGTTTGTTGCTGAAAGCAAAATGCCAGATTGGTTGAATGTATTGGCAGCAGGACGTGCTATGTTTAGATACTGGAAAGTGCTGTTGAGCTAATGACAGTAACTGCATAGGAAAACATCTTTAGTGCAAAAAAAAAAAAAAGATCGTTCTTAGGAGATCTGTAGCTGATATTTGGCCTAAAACAGGAAGGTAGAAAAGGGGGGATAGATAGTTCAGACTCAAGTGTCTTGAATTTTATTTTGGCGTGAAAGAAAAGTATCACAGGATTGCTACTTATTAATTGTGTTACAGTCCACTGTATTATTTCCATACAAATGTTTGTGTGCAATGTTTGTAGTAGTAGTACCAATCTGCTTGGCTAGGTCTACTTGGCTGCTAAAATAAGCAGCTCTCACATTACACTCTCTTCTTAAGCACTTATTTTACCAAAGTATAGCCTAAGCCACAGGCTTCCATATCCGGCAGCACTTAATAAGGGGAGAAAAAACAATTGTGCAAAGATACCTTCTTGGTAGTTCTTTAGTGTTTCCAAAACATTATGTAGTGTTTTATGTTATCAAGTATGTGGGCAATTGCTGATTTCAAATGTATGCTATATAACAAGCCTCAGGTTCTGCTTTCTTGAAGAAATGGTGATATCACACAACTTTTAAACATGAGCCTACATACTTTTAGTTCAAATGATTAAAAAATTAAGCTAAAAATAATAGTTGAAGAGTTGATAAGGTTTTTGTGTATATGATACTTTTAAAGCATGAATGGTAACTGTCATTGGTAGAAATGTGTGATCAAACTATTGTGGTTTGATAATTTATAAGCACAGATTTTACTGAGCTAGCTCACTTTATACCATTAACTCTTTGTAGTCCCGTAACAGATTTTACTGTACTCTGAACACTGTAGTTTTACAGAATGTTAGGAGCTTAAAAAATATTGAAATAGTTTGTTGCTGCAGATTACAAAATGTGCATCAAAGAATGCTGAGACTTCAAATGTGGTTGCTTTTTCATATTGTGAGTTTTAGATATTCAGTAGCGGGTAATAATTTGTAAATCTGCCTTTCTGCAAGACAGTTATTCAGTAATAAGAAAAGTGGAACTAAATTAAAACTGTGACATGGTATGCACTATATTAGAGTTGTGTTTTCTTGACTCCTGTTTGATAGCTTAAAGATGAAGCTGAGAGCAGCCTAATGTTACTGAAGTATATTATCTGTCTGTTGTGATGACCATCTTGTGTCTGAGAGTGTTGGCTCTGAATAATACCTGGTTAATTCAAGTATAGTGAAGTATGATCAGGAGTCCTGGAATCACTACTTTATGTGTTATGAGAAGTTAGAAATTCTAGGTTTCCCTTTTTTTTTTTTTTTTAAAAAAAAAAAAGACAGACTGGTCCATTATATTAATTCATAAAATTTTAATGTTGCATTCAGTTGGACAATTGATCATCATTGAAACAAAATTCTTATGACAATTCTCTAAAACCATACAATATTATTCTACTAGTTTTGAACCAATCTCTTGCACCTTCTCGCTCCCTCCTCCATTTCTGTTGCAAAATTGAAGTTGCATGACCTGCTCGTGATGAATCCAGATCATTGCGCCGTTAAAATGGTCTGAAGGAGAGAGTGTCAGGACAGTGTAAGTGGGATGTTGTTAGATATGAGCAAATAGGAAACCTGAGAAAGAAGAGTGAACATAGTCAGAGGAATAGAGACCATTGGATTCTGAATTGGGCAGTTGGAGCCATACTTGATCATTCTCCATGAGATCGACGACAGCACTGCCAGAAGCCTGGTCAAGGTATCCTTTCTTGTACTCATCATAAGTGTACATGATTGGGGAACCATTTTTGTAGAGTGCAACCCAAACATTTGTTCCTTTTGCGTGTACATGGTAGGAGAAATAGTACAGTCCAGGGATCCTGCAGGTGAAGATTCCTGTTCTGGGGTCATAGTGTTGCTGCCTATTGTACAAGATTTTATCAAATTTGATGGGGACTGTTGCCCCAGGGTAGGCTTTTGAGAGGATGACGCTGAAAGCAGACACTGGCATCCCAGTAAGAGCTTGGTTTACTCCTTTCACGAAAGACATATCCCGAGACTCTCCTGCTTTAACGTAGCTTTCGGGCATCTGTGGGATTACGGCTTGGCCAGGAGGACCAGGGGGACCTGGGGGGCCTGGCAAGCCAGGCTCTCCATTGCTGCCTTTAGGACCGGGGGGTCCAGGTGGTCCCATGGGTCCGCTTAAGCCTTTTGTAGCAATACCTGCTGGGCCTGGCAGTCCTGGTGCTCCTGGCTCGCCTTTTGCACCAGGGGCTCCTGGCAGGCCAGGGGGGCCGATGGGGCCTCTGATCCCAGGTATTCCTGAGGGCCCCCTGGGCCCCGGCTCGCCATTGATCCCTGGCACTCCCTTAACTCCTTGCGGACCCATTGGACCAGGCAAGCCAGGGAGCCCAGCATGGCCAGGGTCACCTTTTGGGCCTGGGAAACCCGGGTGTCCCTTAGGACCAGAAAGACCCTGCTCGCCTGGGTATCCTGGTTTTCCCTCTAATCCTGGCAGACCTCGTTCACCCTTGGCTCCTGGGAATCCCGGGGGGCCTGCGGGGCCCATGTCGCCTTTGGGTCCAGGTAGACCGTTCTCACCAGGCAAGCCTTTGAGTCCTTGAGGGCCCATGTTGCCGGGTGGCCCGGCAGGCCCTGGTTCTCCTGGCACACCAGCTGGGCCTTGGTCTCCTTTAGGTCCTGGAAGGCCAGGAGGACCTTCAGGCCCTCTGTGTCCCTTCATCCCCGGCAATCCTGGCTTTCCAAATCCTGGAAGACCTGGGGATCCAGGCAAGCCTGCTGGTCCAGGGTGTCCCTTGGCGCCGGGGATGCCTGCTGCTCCTGGTGGTCCCATTGGCCCAGGCTTGCCGACACCAACTTCTCCAGGTTCTCCTGGGGGACCCTGGGGACCTGGGATACCAGCTGCTCCGGGTGCGCCTGGTAAACCTCTGTCACCTTTCATGCCTGGCTGACCTGGAAGACCATTTTCGCCAGGCTTCCCTACCCCAGCAGGACCAGGGAGGCCCCGTGGCCCCTGTGGGCCTGGAAGACCCCTGCTACCCGGGCGGCCTGGAAGGCCAAATCCATTTTCTCCCTTTTGTCCGTTTACGCCAGGGATACCTGGCTCTCCCTTCTCACCGGGGAGGCCCCTTGGCCCTTGAGCTCCTGGAGGACCTTGTGGTCCTGGCTTGCCAGGTACAGACAGTCCTGCGGGGCCGGGAGTGCCAGGGGGTCCTTGTGGCCCTCTTGCTCCTGGGAGCCCAACAGGTCCAGCTTCTCCTTTCTCACCATTTAGTCCTCTGTCTCCTGGCTTTCCTGGTAGACCTGGCATGCCTGGCTTTCCAACCGCAGAGAATCCAGGTGGTCCTGGGGGACCAGGGGGGCCTTGGGGACCAGGACTTCCAAACCCTGGCTTTCCTGCAGGACCTGGTTGTCCTCTTGGTCCAATAGGGCCTGGGGGACCAGGGGGTCCTTGTTCGCCCCTTATCTGCACACCTGTGAGAAGAGAGAGGAAACCAGGTCAGCCAGGGCAGCTACAACAGATTTGCAGACTTCTGGCATGGCGGTGAAATGTGTGAAGGGTTAACCTAATTTGAACCTCATAGGAGTCAAGTTTCTAATACTGTGTTTGGTCACTAAGAACCTGACATTCAGGGCAATAGTGTCTCAGAGCTCTTATATGAATAATTAACGAGTGCAAATGTCTTGGGGTTGTGTTGTGAGCTATAGGGCCTCCAGAAACTTTTTTGGCTTCAATACATTTAGGGTCATCAGAGAACTTAAAAGATGCTGTGCAAGTAGATGCAAGCTATTAAGGAAGAAAAAAAAAAACCAAACAGGTGACTGATTTAGGAAGTTATCAGACTTGCATCTTGATGATGAACAAAGCCAGTGAAAGCTTCCCGTGTGGTTGTAGCTGCTTTTCTGAAACTACTTGGTGCTACATTTTAGTAATGAGATTTTTGTCCTTACTCCTCTCACACTTACAAAAGTGGGCCATGGCTCTGGGTTTTTTGTAAACATATGAATATTATATTTTCAAATGCTGTCCTAAAAATTTCACGCAGTGGTAAGGTCACAACTTACTGCAGTAAGTAAACAATTCCGGCATTGTTTTGGTTTTTTTTAATAATACTTCATTTTCTTAGTTATCAAAACAGCAGGTGGAGCCACTTAACCAAATGTCACAAATAGAGGAATAAACAAACCATCTCACTGCTTAGTCTTCTGTGCACTTTGGGGAAGCTTGCAGCTTCCTGCTGGAATTAGGATGCTGATTTGTAGGACATTACAGACAAGATTAACAGGGATACTGTGAGACTACTTCAGTAGTTTGCAGTAACTGGCAGCATTATAGAATGAAATACCATACCTATGATGAATGTTAATTTAAGAGGTTATTTTAAAAATAAAAACTGAGAGCTGTAGGAAGATAATGGATTCTGTGTTTTTTATAATGGCAACATATTCTGTTTGATGCTTATTTAGAAAAGATTGATAAGATCAACAACTGGATCAGCTAAAGTCTGCATTTCAGCCTCTTGCAAAGAGAGCAGAGTGTGTGTGTGTATATATATGTTTAAAAGTTTAAGCAATGACTGTTCTGCTGTCTTTTAGATGATAAATTGCTTCTTCCAATCTGTGGTTAGTCTTGATGAACCAAAAATGAGACGGAGGAAGAAAACTATTCTTGTACATGTTGTATTTAAAAAAAAAAAAAAAAGAGATTTATACATGAAATACATTTGATTTTGGTTTGATATTGGATCTGCCAGGTTGCCTTCTTCCTAGCTTGCCAGGGAAATTGTTCTTATCTACCAAGTCTAGAGAGAGTGCATTTTCTTTTTTGCTGATGCATAACATCAGCACAAACGCGTATCATGTTATTTTGCATACCTTCCTGTCTTATCTTCCTTAAAGCAATGAAAAGGAAGATAGTTGCTAAAATCCTACACATAGGAAGAAAGCAAAGTCTGATTTATTGACAAATTGAAAATGCAAACACACATCCTTCTCAGCTGCAAAGCAGATTATGAAATCTGTGAGTACCACTGACAAGTCTGGTGCATGGTGCAGTCTTTGGTATCTTACTGATATTGTTGGATTTCTTACTACTGAACTCCCAGATTCGGTAGGGTTCAATTGCAAGTTGGTTTTCTTGTCATATAGGTGACAAGATATGGCAAATTTTAAGAACTACATCATATGAAAAATGATTTGGGCATTGGCTTAAGCCTGTCAGAATTAACATTTACCCTGCAGCGGAAGTGGCATGTAAATTTTCTTTGCACATTACATGTTTTCTCTTCACCATAGGTAAGAGAGCTGCCATCAGAGAAAACAGCTTACTCAACTGGAGGACTCAGCATTTATTCCATAGGTTCTATCTATGGATAGAACTTCAGAAACTATCTGTTCGCACCAGAGAACAGAGGCAGGTCAGATTAAAGCCCCAACACAAATGCCTAAACAGATTCCTGAGCTAATGCTGCTTCAGCTGTAAAGCCTTAGGGGAAGAACCAAGCATTTATGTGGGCACTTTGGCAGAAGACAACAGTGACCCCAGCCAGGTCTGCTCTTTCTTAACAATAACTCAAGGAACTATGTCCTGACCTACCACATGTACTTTGTTCTTCAGCAGTCAGTGTGAGTTTAACTTCTGCAGTGGGGCAACGTTCATTTTATTCAGTTGTGTTTAAGTAACATGAATTGATCTAATCTTTTTAGTGGCAGATTGCATCAGACTTTAGCTTCAGAGTGCTTCTCTTTCTTGCTTTTTACCATGTTTTAGATGCAACTTTATATTAGTCCTAGATTCACAAAATGGTGGGTGCTGCCTTTTTGGGTAAGTTGCTAAAGGCTTTGTCAGTGTTCATGTTGTTATAGAGATTTTCTGCGAGGAGCTACATTGTTTCAAAGTTGCGCTGCTTTTAGATTAAAATGTCTGGTAATTGTGCTGTCTAGAGACAAATGGTAAGTCCTCTGAGGAAAGGACAGCTGAACACAATAATGAAGTAGGATTTTTACCAGGAAAACTGAAGTAGTGGTTGACTACTCTTTCATATGTCTTGGCACACATCTTGATGCAAAATTTGTTTACGTTCTCTGAGTGCAGTCAAACCCTATTTATGTATTGAATTAAATGTGAACACTTTAACATAACCTGCAATAATGGCATTAATTAATGCTTAAGCATTGCTGAACAGTTAGACTTAATTCAATGATTATTCTCAACTAGGACTTTTCAAAGATTTCAAGCCAGAGCTACTTGTTTAAAAATCATGCCCTGGTACATCTAAAGGATAGTAATACTAAATACATACATAAAAGTGAAGTATATTCTGACTGGAGAGATGTCAAGAATAAGATTTTTAAAACTGTTAAAACAATTTCACCAAATTAACTTTAATAGGTTTTAAGTGCCTTGTATGTTCTATTACATGCTGTCCTGGGTCACCAGTTTGGGCCTGGACTGAAATTTTAGTTCCAGGCTGCTTTTTGACAAAGCTATACAAAACAAAAAGAGAATTTACTGGTAACCAAATCTGTAAAAGCCAATGTTTGGTGACCAAATAGGAAAAGTAAGCTGTGATGAAAATCTTGCCATGTGCTACTTGAGCTACTTGCACACAGAAGAACTCACTATACAATACAGTTAAATGAATTTGGTTCTGCAGTCTCCTGTTTTAGTCTTCCATGATGGTCTCAGACTAGAAATGATGACCTCTAACATTCTGCCCTCTTTAAACTCTTCTAAAAACTCTCCATAGGATGCTTGTTTTCCAGACTGAATAATAGCAGTGGTTTTCCAGTCCTCTAGTTTGGTGCTTGTTCCCCAAGTGAAGATTTGTCAAGCAATTTTGAATGACTGGACTCCCATGTCTGTAAAACTTTACACTGTTCCTGCTTTTGAGGTATGCTATATTGTCTGTGTTACCTTTCGAAAGTAGACAGCCTTTTATACTTTTCTCACATGTTGAAAATAATCATTCTAAGTATGAAGTTGCCTGCACATTAGATTCTGTGTTAGTATATAAAGTGGAAACTTAGCTCAGGACAATTCATGTCCCCTTTTCATCCCATTTCCTGTCTACCCTGCTCCTTCCTTTTTCTTAATTTGCTGCTGGTTTCCTCCTTTCCAAATGTTTTCTATGGGGGGAGGGGGGGAAGCCCCAGTACAAGAAGAGAAGTAAGTGAAGTATGGTAGAGGATAATCAAGTAAATATTATACTTAAAAACAATATAAATAAAGTAAAGGAAAAACACTATGAAAAGTTAATAAGGGGAGAGGGAGGAAATGCAACTCTAACCCAGTGGTAATTCCAGTTAGGAAGCCCTCAGAGTAGCTGTTTATGTACATATACCTAAATTCAATCTGAGAGTACTGGTAGGATTCCAGAAAGCCCCTGTGCTGCAGGCAAGGGACAAAACTGTGACAGTATTTTGGTACAGCCAAGAAGAACATTTTGGGGGGTAAGTTTCCCAGCCATGCTGCTTTCACTTGGTTCTTAATGCAGAGTGTTCTTGGAGCATGTGGCTGGAGCCCATTGGGGTGAGACTAGGGCTGCGTCTTTGGACTCTGTGTGCCACTCGTGAGCACTCAGTCCATAGGATCAGACTAAAGCTATTCTGAAATGTAACCTCCTAAACGAAGGTAATGTGGATGCTATGTCCTGAGCAGCAGCTATTCTGCTCTCCAGATCTGCTTCTGTTGTGCTACCCTATTTTCTAATGCAGATACAACCTAAAATGTCCTTTTTCTGGTGAAGAGCAGCTTATTTGCAAATCCTGGTTTTTTTGAGTCCCTCATTCAGCTTCCTCATTTCTGCCCAAGTATGATTATTACAACGAAAGGCAGATGGAATACAGCAAAAGTGAAAGCTATTCTGAATAGCCTGTTGATGTCTGAAAGAAAATAATGTTCCTGGGAGGCAGGGAGGGGGAAGAGAGGGATGTTTACAAGGAAGATTCAGTTCTCTTAACTGATGATAATTTCAAATACAGACTACTGATCATCCTTTGGGGGACAATTCATCAAAAGCCAGCACCTAGGAAGTCAGAAGTTTTGATTTCAAGTTTTTTAAAAAAAGCTTTGGCCTAAGCATGGAAAAATAAAGCAGAACTCAGTTTCAAACACTGAAGTATAACCACCCATGTGACTTACAAGGACAGAGAGGATACCCAGAAATAAGATGTCACAATGTATAGCATTGCAATTATATATTGCCTATACAATCTGCCTGTACAATAAGACTGATTTATTAAATGAAAAGAATGCTTTACGATAAAGCTAGAGTTGTTATTTTACTAAGAGATTAGTCTGATAATTAAAGTATAAGCTTAAATCACTCATGAAAAAAACTATGTAGAGGTTTGTGTCATACTTTTATGACTTACCTTGACTCTTTACATTGAATGGTAGAAAATGTGGCCCCTTGATGCTGGATTGTTTCTGGTATCGCTCAGAAAAATATCCATCGCTACCATGGACAATGTTCAGACAAAACAGCAGCAGTAAGGATATTTGTAAATGCATGTTTCCAAATCTGTTTTCTGTTAAAAAGGGGAGAAAAAGTTTGTTATAAAGAAAAGCTCTTCAGTTCTGTTTCTTGTGCATGAATAAATGAGTTTTCTTAAAGAATTGGTATTAAAAGTAACATTATTTTGTGCTTACTTCCTCCTGCTTTCACTAAAGGTGAAAGAGGTGAAAAATCCTTCAAGAAAAAGGGAATCATTACTGCTGTCACTCTGAATGATAGAGCTCTTGTATAGATAGCTTAGAGGCAATAGTCTCACTCTTAGGAAAAGAATAATTTTATATGGAAGCCAGCCTACTTGAACCACTGTCTTCAGAAACAGTGATTATTTTCCTAGTTACACCAGGGCTCCAAAAGTAAGTTAAGGCATTGCATATATCAAAACCCCTGAAACAAAGAAAAGTTTTCAGTGGAAATACATAGACACTCTACCACAATCTTATTGCTTCTGTCTAATGCTATAGCAAATGAAGTACCTGGCTCCTTCAGCATCAGTGGCTAAATCTCAGATTGCCTTGCTTGAAATCAGGCTTTTATCTATAGCCTTTCAAATAGCCCCAGTGGCAGTAAGGATGCTGTCACTGGCCCTTAAATATCAACCCCCTTCTCTCCCCAACCAGAAAACATGTATGCTGTAGAAGCTACCTTCGAAACCAAATAGAATAAAATGAAATCATAACATACCAAAATGTTGTGGAGCTCCAATGCAGAGTGGTAGAGCAGTGAACCCTCCTCTGTTAAGGAGTTCTTCTGCCACTGGTGAGTGAGCAGAAGCTGATGATTTCAAGTGTCACCCCTGAGTATTTATATGATTTTCCCCCTAGTTGGGTGACTGCTGGGCATAAGCTCCTCCCCCAAAAATCAGTAAGCAGTAATTATCTGTGTGTGTATATGTGTGTTTTTAGGGGTGGGGGAAGCTATTTTGGGCAGTCATCCTAGATCCTGTTAAGGGGGTTTTTTGTTTGGTGTTTTTTTTTTCTTTCCTTGGATTTCTTATTGTTGATGAAATTGTATTGCTCATAGCTTGTATTTTCTAAAATTTTACGGCCCCTCTGTTTTTAGAACTGAGAAAGATAACATTGGAAAAACTCATGAACTTGTAAGTAAGGTTGATAATTCTAAGTACTTCATTTGGATTTCTCTGTAAATGGTTTATGGAAAGAACTATACATTTTGAACTTTGGTGAGCTGTTAACTTTCAGGAGTATCCCCACTAAAGTCTATAGAGACTACTAATGTGAGTAATTGTTCAGTGGGACACGAGTGGAGAACTTGCAATCAATTAAGGTGTGAATAAGGGAGTTGTGTGAGAACCTGAAGGTTACTTTTAGGCAGTTATTGTTTTAGGAGATTATCTTCACATTATATTTCTATACTTCTGTTTTGATGTTGGAGGTACAGTACTAGGTACGTGATGTATTCTGCAAGTAACGTTTCTCTATTATGAATTCTTGAAATGCAAGCTTGCCTTACACAATGGGAACTTCATTGTATCTAGTTATAGCAAATGTATTGAAATCCATACTGCTTAAATACGCAAGTGCTGTATGGGCTGATTCTTGGGGCTGGTGGGGTTTTTTTGAGCTTTCAGCATTGCATTCAGTAATGTAACTTTTTTTAAGGTTTGCTCAATGAAATGCAGTTATTGCTGTACTTTTACTAGATGCATGTTGTTCCTATTGAACTGTTTCAGTTTAGTAAATGTAAACTGTTTCAGTTCAGTAAATGTAAACTACTCCTTCTTTACTGTTGGTGGATCAAACTTGATTACAGCTTATATATTTTTCTTTTTTTTCTTTTTTTCCTTTTTTTTTTCCCCCTCTTTTTTCTTTTTTATTTCAGATTATAGATTGGTTTTAGCCATTAAGAAAGTTCATTAAACTAGTCCTGTTTAGAGGACTGTATCCACACATTGTGACTTTTTTTTTGAATAAATAATGGAATCTTACAGTGTTTCAGCATCACTTTGATTAGCGTTCAGTACTAAATAGGCAGTAATTTTCAGTCCTTGAATGGTTTGTGACTCTGAAACGTTATTTAAGATCGAAGAGGCAGAATAAGAGAGAATAAACAAACCTTTCTCATTAAGGATGAAAGTGTAGAACTAAATATATTTTGCAATTTTATCAAACATTCTCAGCAAAAATACCTTTGTATAAATTAACTGTGTATTAAAACTCCTTTGCCAATTGCAGATTTCTTTGACACTGTTATGTGGTATTCAGTCTTGTAGGAGCTAGGTTTTTGGATGTGTTTGAAATTCTTTGTTCCCCTTGTACCAAATTAGTGGAAAACCAAAGATAAATGATATCTTTGTTGCTAAAGGAAGCTGAGCATGGGCTACAAGTTACTGTCCTGATGAAGTGAGCATGTATTTATTTTTCAAGTTAATTTATGCTATTTGTGGAAGGTGTCTGGGGAGCCTTTTGGTGAGGTACAAGCGATACCTATGCAGAAGAACACGTATGCACCTATATCCTAATACCAATTGTAGAAATAATCAGGCAAGGGTACTAGCATGATATGTTATAGGAATACCAATAAATAACCTGTGTTACTGTGCATTCTCATGCATGGTAGGTACAGAAGGGACGCCTGTTACCTTTCCAACCAAAAGACTGAGCTGCTGGCCCTGAACTGTGCGGCTATCCTGTGGAATGACAGGTTAACGTGGGCTGAATTTTACCTGCTTTGTGTCTTTGTTTAATTGCACGCTCTTCAAGTAACAACTTTTTTGGCTTTTATGTATTATGGCAAATATCCTAGAACACAAGTTACTGTACTGAAAGAGACTAATGGACCATCAAGTCTATTCTGCTTATAATTGTGCTAATACCTTTGCTTACTAGAGGGCTGTATTAAAGTTGTGAGTTAAAGACTGCTGCAATCATTTATTTAATGTATTGTCAAACGGTTCTTTTATTCTATTCTTCTTTCTAGCCATCCTCTAAACAACACTATGTTCCATTTTTGTAAATAAACCCTTTCCGCTGCAGAGGTCTTCAGACTGAAGCCTGCTTTCCCCATTAAGCTTGCGTGTCCAATCTGGTCAGTGGTTTTCAGAGAATGTTTGCATGTCTGAGATGGCATTTCTACTCCCCCTATGTGCATTCAGTTCTTTTTAATCTTTTCAAGAAGGAAGCTTTGTCCTCAAGTTGTTTGTGTACCTTCTCAAGGTGCTTAATTTAAAAATTATTCTCTATAAATTCAAATGAGAGTCCGGTCATCCGCTTTTGACAGAGGCAGCATATGTATGGGCATAGAGTTTATTTCTTCCTTGAAGAAATACAACTCCAGCTCCTTCTTTTGGTTCACATAAATCCAAAAATAGCTTTTGATTTTTTAAAACATTTAAATATACAGCCCTCGGTGGGAAGTGTGGTTGTTGCTAATTTGACAATATTTGGTTAAGAAAGTTAAGAACAGCAGGTGACAGTTTTATGCACACACAGTTTCATGCTAATTTCTAGCCTAATTCATAAATACCCCCAAAGCAGGCACACTTACGTTACAAAAGCTCCAATAACGTACACTGATATTTGCCCAGCAGCCTCGCTTCCTGCCTTGGCTCCTTCTGGCCAGGAAGGTGAATAATCTCTGTGTGTCCCTGCATAAATAGGGATGATTGTGGGGTTAAAAGGTATATTACTGGCAAACTCGCTGTCCTCCTGTTTAACCTGAGCTCCACCCTATCGTGCTATCTTATGCTACTTCTTGGGTTTGAGGTTTTGTTTTTCTGTGGGTATGGGAAATTGAGGTAGAATTGGAGTTCACTTCTTTTGTATGTTTTCCCTGTTGCTGTGGATATTTTTTATTGGCAGAGCACTAACATGTGTTTAGCCTTAAGCACACACATGAGAGGTAGGCTTCGGTATGTATTTGCACGTGCAAAAATACATGTAGTAGACATACTTGTGTATACCTATTTACAGTAGCAGCACATTTTAAATAAGAAAGGTTATTTCCGTACCTGTTTTCAAAGTATAAACGTTCAGATGCTTTTGCTTTGCAGCTATGCACTTAGAAAGCTGTCTTTTACTTCCAAATGAAGGTATCGTCACTGCCCCCTGCTCCTCTTGTCCCAATACCCTAATAGTCAGGAATAATGGCGTGATACATGGCTCTGTTGCACCGCTCCAGTATTTGCTTTTTAGTTATGTATTGGCTGCTTCTTCCCATGTAAAGATAGCCATGGTAGTATTCCTTCAAAATAGTGATCTGATAGTCTAAGTCCTGATCTTAACTGGAATAAAAAGACTCAAAATAGAGTTTCTCTGGACCATGTGAAGTAGGTACTGGAATCACAGAGTCTTTAATGCCATTTGCAGCAGTTTGCAGTGTTTCGTCATATTTGCTGGATGAATGTTCAATTTGCTGTTGAATGTTGTTAGAAAGCGTGCGCTTGCATATGCTTTCCAAAATCCCCTGTTTCTTCAGTGTCTTATTCCCACAGAGTGGAAATACATGCATAAGTGACGTGGAAGCGACCCCATGCTTTGGGAAATGGGAACTAACTTTCACTGCAATCCTGCAAGTTACTTGCAAAGGGACTTGAATGAGTCCCACAGTAAGCAATGACTGCTTACGAGGAAGAAATGTGGAACAGCTTAATTAAGCATAAACTGTAATAAAATAAGCAACCATTCCCTTTCACACAGCCTGCCTTCCCCTCTCCCCGCTCCCTCCCCCCAAAAGAAAAAAAAAAAAAAGAGAAGCAAAACTCAGAGAAAGGCTGGGCTATGTCTCTGCAGTAGTTGGGCACTGGCTGAATATGCTTCTGATACTGAGGGTTTTCAGTGTGAATATGTTTAGATTTATTGTTTTGACTTAGAGTATGTGATCTTGACTTTTCACCATCTAAGCATAAATCCTGTGCTTAGGTAGTTTCAAAGATGAGTGAGTTCTCTGAAAGGAAAAATTAACAGCTTTAACTTGGAATTTGTCTTATTTTTAGTAAGTGGCTTTTAGTCTTAATCCTGAAATTTTTTTAATTTAGAATTACTTTTTGTTAAAATATGGTACCCAAGGAACCTGGGGGCATTTTACTCCTTTAGTTTGGCTAGGTAATCTCAGTTTTGAATAAAGAGGCAAGAATGTGTTGGGGGAAGATGGAGTCCTGCAGTTTTAACAAGTAGTCTGAAGAATTTGGAGTGACTTTATTGATGACATGAAATCTCAACACTGTTAAGAGGACACAATTATTTTTCTTTTTGTAGCTCAGAATCTATGACAAGTGCCTTCCGATGTTGTCAGTTCCAATTGTGTTACCTGCCTGAAGTAAACTTTGAAGACTCTACCCTAGTCTGTGATAAGTTTTCCTCTATTGAAGTGCTTATACCCAAAACTCATGGTAGCTACCATTTTGCAATGGACTCTTATAGCCTGTAGCACCATCTCTGGTGAAGAAATTCCCCGGTCTCCAATTTTAAGCTCTCAGGGAAAGGTATTTAGGAATTTCTCAGAGAAGTTTGAAAGCCTGCCATGAAATTACAGGAGTTACTGGGTTACCTAGCTTGTGGTGCACTGCATGACACTCTGGAAACTCCTAAATCATCTCAACTCCATGGTTTAAAACCATCCTCTCTCCCTTTCCGTCACACAGTGCCGAAGGGTGTTTGCACGCTCCTGTGATAGCGGCCAGGTAAGCCCTCCATGGGAGTGGAGAGGGGCAAAGTGTTCCGCTGCACCTTTCTTAGTGGGGAAAACTAATGCAGATGTTTTTCAGCTTCTTGCTGCCCGCAGTCAAACGTGCCCAAAGAAATAACAAGCAGGAAAATCTGTGAATTAAATAACTGTGGGAAGTTGGAGGGGTGTCTGTATATGTTTTGATGATGCTGTTTCTTTGTTTTGTTTCGTACTAGTTGTTACTTTGTGTTTACATGGAGGGTGTTTTCTGTTCCAACACTAGCCGCTTGGACTGCATGAGACTAGAAAACATCTTGGTGAAGAAAATGTTTACCTTGCTAATTGGAAAACAAATACGATTTCTTTTGAGTTTCAGAATGCATGTCGTTTTTTGTAATTAATAGATGCTTGTTGGGGCAATCTGCAGGGCTGTGCAGTCCTATCCATATTCATACTTTGAGATACAATAAACAATTCTCTCTTCAAACAAACAACACGAAAGAAACTGTGTTACCCCTACAGTCCCGTACTAGTCTTTTTATAGCTTTAAAGCCCTCGTACTTCTAACACTTGTAATTGTGGTTGAATAAATGTCCTACTTTCAAGTAGTAATGGAAAGATGGTCTGTATTTGTTCTGGCACTGCAAAAATGACTGACTGCTGGCCAGTTTGTTCTGTTCAGCGCAGGTAACTGTTGATCACAAGAACTCTATTTAATATAGAGTATATTTATATAGATGACACCCAGTTAAATATTTATAGCTGTATTCTGACTGAGTTAACTTGCAGAGGCACTGAGTAACCATGCTGAAACCTCAGGAAAAGATGTGTTCCACATAGGTTATAGAGAAAGTTTTGAGACTTGACATGAATTTCTGATAATACATTCCTCAGATTCATATAGCATTATTGATTAATGCTTTTTAACAATGCTACATTGTTTGTGGCCCCATTTCATTTTGCTTGTATAAAAATAAGGTAATTTCACCCATCTTAGAGAATTTATGATACTAAAGTAAAACATACCAAACACAAGTACTGGTGTTAGGAATGATGTTTTCCAGTACCTTGGGTATGCAGCTGGCCTGACCTTTTTTCTTCCTCATTTTTATTCCTTCTTCCCCTGCCTATGAAAGTAAAAC